TGTTCACTCCAATACGTTAAGATGAAGTCCTGCTGCTCTTTCTACTGAATGTGCTGCATCACTGACTGACAGCTGATGAAGGGAGTCCTGCAAACACTCCTCATCGCTTCTTCTTCTTCTTCTCTCCTCAGATGGAAGTGATCTCACTCAGAGTGAGTCCACCATCATCTCTGTGATCCTCTGGATCTGACCAGAGGATCACAGAGGATCTGGACTCCTCACTCCACCTGGACCTGGATTTAGTTTAGTCCTTTGGTTCCTTCATGTGTTCTGACCCTGAAGTGTGTCTGCAGATGAGTTGTGTTCATGACAACATGACAGCAGATGAACACATTAAATGATGTTTCTGCTTTGCTTCCTGTTGCAGCTCCTCCCTGTGGAACGATGGAGTTCTGCACTTCATTACTCATATTTCTCAGTAACAGTGGGAGTTGATGTCACGTGTATGAAGTTACCTTATTACCACCAATACCAGCCTCTTCTCATGTTATAACAGACTCAGATTAGCTTGTAACAAACAGGAAGAGGAGATAAAACCTGAACCTGAACTCAATCAAGGCTTCACTTTAGTTTCTCAACTGACCAACAGATTGTGTTCAGCAGCTTAATATTTACACTTTATGTTCATGAATCATGTACACAGGAGAATAATAAAGCTGACTATCTGTTCTTTAGTTTATTATAGTTTCATGTCGTTATCACCAGCGTTCATGTTCTGGCTTCACATGATGGAACTGGATTAGAGATGAAAACCTGATCTAATAAGACTCAGTTTAGTTTTAATGTCGGTTCTAAGAGGGTGAGAAGTGATTCACTAACAAGCCATCAAATGATAAAGTTCTCCAGAATCAAGGTTTTTATATCTTCATGTGTTTTATGTTCAAAGTTTTTTTCCTTCTGGAACAATAAAGTTGATGTGAAATGAGCCTGAAATCGAGCCGTGATCTCTACATGCAGTTTTTCTGTCTGTTAATAAAACTTCTCACTTTGTTTAATTCACTTTGAAAATCAATTCATGAAAATTAAAACCATCTCGACTACTGTTTAGAGCTCAGTCCAAATGAGTGAATTATTAACAGTTCCGTTAGCTGTTAGCGGTTAGCTAAACACTGTCAAAACAATAAGTGAGCCAGTGCTCTGCTACCACGAGAGGTCCTTGAGCAGACACCCACAGTATGTTTCCGTTAGCCGCAGCAGACTGAGAGATTATCACACTTCACCTCAAACACAAGCCAACTTAAAGCAGTGAAGAAGAAATCTTACAATCAAAATTAACTGTTGAAATCAAAATGTAAACATACTTAAAAGTTATTGATAATAATTTTAATTCAGTGAAGAATTCAACATCAAGGCTCAATGGTTAAGGATTTAAATTACTACATTCCAGAGTTTTCGGCCAAACCTGCAGACAGCAGCTTCACTGCAAAGTTGTGTTTATTTTATTTTTCAAAAACCTTTTTTGACAGTGTGTTTGAGTTTTGTCTTTTGACTTCGTCTGCGCTCGCGCTGCCTCTAACTGAGCTTCACGTTCATTCTCTGGTTGTGGCTCAGTGTTTATTCATGATGAGAAGAAGAATAAACTGAACTTCTTTCCTGTTTGTTCAGACGCTGATCTGCAGAGCAGCTGTGAGCCTCTTCTTGTCTCAAAGCTCAACTTTAATATTTCTTTGATCTGTAATAAACAGTCAAATTACACCATTTAACTTTACAATTATTAAAGAGGAATTTAATGATTTTTGGCCACAAGAGGGAAGAAAACATGAAATCCTCAGATACTCGTGTTCTATTTTATTGTTTATTTAGTTTTTAGTTTATTTATTTTTAATGTTTGATTTATTTACTTTCCTTCTCTTTTCACATTTATTTTAACTTTTGTTTCTTCTTTTGATTCCTGCTCTTTTCTCTTTTTTATAACATTTAAAGTCATGTATCAATAATATTAATAATATGTTAATATCTTATATTTGCATACTATATTATTCCATTAGATACTATAGGCCTACATTTATATATTATATTATTAGAAGAATATATTTGTACTAACAATAGAATATTTTACTCTATTGTACGCTGTGATAGTTTATATGAAGCTACTGTTACATATAAAATACATATTAATGACATATTTATATATTATAACAGATGAAATATTCTGCAGCTCGTTTTGTTTTGTTCTGTATTTATTGTAGAATTTATAATCATTTAACACCTGTTTTATTAAATGTGTTGACTAATTATTAACACTGATATCTGCAATGAAGCAGCGGCGTCATATTTATGTTTTACGGTCGTTACGCTGAGACGAGGATTTAATAATCACATCACGTGTTACAGGTTCAGTCGCTGCTGCCGACGTGCCTCTGAGCAGAAACCCTCGTCGCTGTAAAGTGTCATGTGATCAGTTTCTCACATGAATCAATCATGACTTCATAGTTTCACAGTTTAATGTTTTTACACAATCTGGTGAACTCTTCATTAGAGGAGAGATTTATGAGAACAGATTAATGTCACCATAATAAGCTTTGTCTCGGGTTTGTTTTCTGACTGAAGCGTTCGTCACACACGATGCGTTCAAGGACTGAAGGATCAGAATGTGACATTAATGATGTTTCTACAGCTTCTGTGATAAACGGAGTCGTTTTGTTGATTGTCCCGCCGACGGGTTTCAGGGTTCAGAGAGTTCAACTCAACGCGTCTCCAGATCAGACATCTTCTGTCTCCATCAAACTATGTTTAGGAGCATCACACACACTTTGTCATCTGAGTACCTTTACTACACACACACACACACACACACACACACACTTTAAACTGTGTGTGTGTGGATAATGTTAGCTTTGCAGTGATTAGTCTTTCACTTTAGAAAGACATAAAAACAGGACCTCCAGTGTTGTCTCAGATGTCTTTGATGAGTATTTTTGACTTTGTCCACCAGAGGGCGTGAATGAGCTTTACTACACATCACATGTGAACACACACTGGAGTTGATTCTGACTCAATCCAACATATAAATACACACCACCACAGCACCACATGTGGATTAATCCGCCGCTGAAAATAGTCCCCAACAAAGTCACTGTTTGCTGTTTGTTTGGTAAGAACTAGAGAGCAGCTGTTCCAGGATTACTGAGACATGAAACTACATATCTGTGAGGAGACTTTAACACTTTAGTTAGTTTGTTTAGTTTGTTTTATTCGTGCGGAGGAAGGAGTCCGGGCTTTCTGGAAAATCAATTAAGAGACGCGTTACGGCTGTCGACTCAAAACCACTAAAATAAAAACACACTCACACACCAACTGATCCGTTCTTTAGTAAACTTCCATGTAAACAAACCTCCCCTCCCCCCCGCCGTGGGCCCCCCCCCCCCCCCCCCAATGAGCTCGGGTCCATCGCTATAGCAACTGGTTGCCACGGGCGACGAGACACAGCCAGCATCCTCGCAGTCGTCGTGGAGGCAGAGCGGAGAGAAGGCGCGGCGCGAGCAGAGCAGCAGAGGAAGACGTGTTCTCGCCAAAATAAAACCCCGAAGAAATAAAACACAAAGCGTCCAATCAGACGGCTGGAGTCTCCTGCTTCTGCTGCCCACCTCTGGAGAGGAGACGAGAGGAGGAGAGGAGGAGAGGATGCTGACAACTTGTTCTGCCTGGAAAGTGTTGCTTCAGCTCTCGGCTGTGTTGGAGTGCAGGCGGTGACCCCGACGCCGCCAACGAGACCGACCGCCGCCGCCGCTGCAGCTGCTGCTGCTGCTGCTGCTGCTGCTGCTGCTGCTGCAGGGTGAGTCCCAACTTCCCTTTTAATTCCAGTTGGTGTGTTTTACCTGAATCCTGTCGGGAGTCCTGAGGGTCCAGACTGAGGGGTTCATGGTGGAGCGTTGTGTCGTAGACCTCTGAATGTGCGATGGCGTCTCGAGCCGGTGAACACGCAGGAAACGGTGATGCTCTTCTGGTTCAGTAAATACTAACTGAGCAATGTAATCTAATAGTTTGGTGTCGTGAAGTGCAGCTCATGTGCTACAGCTGAAGGAACAATACTTTCTTTTTTAGATTTAGTGTTAGATTAAAACAAACCGAATTCATGCAGAGATCCAGTCTGATGATCTGAGAAGAAGTGCCTCAGAGGTCAGTACACCCCCAAAGATTCCCAGAATAAAAACCTAAAGAGCTGCAAAGACATAAAACAACCACAAAGAAAACCCAAAAGACCATAAAGAAACTCACGACCACAAAGAGACATA